TGCGTGACAGGTGGAATCCAGGAAAATAAACCGTGGAACTTTGACCAATGAGAGAACAGTTTACTTGCGCGTGACTTGTATTAACAAATTTGGTCCGTTTAGAAACTTTGCCTTGTGAAAGCGAACCGCATCAAGAATAAAAAGCTACATTTTAATAATTTTAATCCCTGTTTCGGAACAAAGCAATCGATCTACAGGTGTGAAAGCACCCTAAAACTTTATGATTCTTACAAGTTCTTTTCATCCTGATAATCTTAACATATAAACACAACTTTTATCAATACAATAGCCAGAAGTAAAAAGCTAAACATAACAATGGTCACCTGACTTAAGTGTCACCGTCACTAAGCTTCTGACAGCTCTTCAATCTTTATTTAAAAAAGCATTCCCTGAAAGTTTGATTTAGAATAGTTTGCAAGGGTGCGATTATAAACAAATTGAGGCTGTAAAAGCAAGTAAACAAATTAATCTGTTCGACGCAATGACATTTAATGTCCCAGACAGCAGATGTAGTACAATTGATCTTAGTTACTGTTGCTACGACTGACAAGCAATGGCGCTGTCACGCCACACATCATGTTCTCACGCAGTGAAAAATACATTGTGGAGCAAAAAGGAAACTGACAAGTTGACAACACGCCGACAGACAAGACAGAGCAGGTTACTTTTGGTATGAAACAAAGTCTCAGCTTTCAAATTTTGTCATTTTTAAGAAATTCTAACAATAAATAGCGTTTTGTGTCTCTTTAATGTGTTGTGACCGATTACTGTAGCGCCTCAGTTCAAGTGGCACATGAATCGATAATATCTTCCTCTACTAGTTATAGCACGAAAAAAACATAAATGAACATCAGAAGGTATCTTGTTTGAACTGCGGAAAGGCATCAGTGCACACCACTTTTGAAGTTCAAGTCCACCAACATTAATCTACTCTCCTGACTGGTTTGTTTGTCTGACAGATTCTGCATTATGATTGGTCAGATCGCCTGTCAATCAAACACCCGACAAAGGGTCAGTTTAGCCACTTGTTAGCAATCGCCTTTTTCAAAACCAGTAAAAGCTTTAAAGAAAAAACAAATTATGTATTACTGATGTATTTTGTGCCGCAGAATGAAAAATATTTTGACCTTGTGTTTACCACTGACCATATTTCAGGCATTTAAACAAAAACCCATTGATTTTTCAGGATGATAGAGGTGGAAGTGCTAAAATGCTAAAACGTTTCCTACAAAAAAATACACTCTATACAATCGGGGTTACAACCCAGGTTTCAACCGAGTCTCCCACATTAGCACCAGACCTCAATGTGTCCGACATGTGGTTCGTTTTGTTGTTAATACTGTTTCAATGGGTCTGTGTAGGACCTGAGAGTACTGCCCGGTGAACAAATATCACGAGGTGTTGTTGATGCTGTCACATTTGCTAAAGGAAGAAGAGTGGGATTGTATATTATTATATTGTAAGATTTATAACAGATAACTACAAAAAAAATAAAAAAATAATAATAATAATAATGACAAGACCGGTGGAGACAACAAGTATTGTAAGCGATAATGATGACAAAGATAACTATAACAACAATAATAATAATAATAATAAGGATTTCATTAAGATTAGGAAAGGGTGGAGGACAGTGAAGGATGCAAGTAATAGTAATGATATTATTAATAATAGTAATAAATTATAAATTAATAAATATTTAATAAATTATTAGGGTTGTCCCTGATCCCTCCGTCGCAACAACATATCATAGCTTAATCCCAAGCCCATGTCACGCCACAGCGGGAGTGCCTTGGAAAGATGCTGCGGGGCAACAGGGCCCAAAGCTCTCCCCCCATCCTCCAAAACACCAGCCATCCATGGCCACTACCTGCATGCCACGCTTGTCTCAGATGTCTGTTATTTATTTATTTACATATACACATCTATACATTAAAAAAACATATGTCTCAGCTAATTTGTAATGCATTAAAAAGGTGAGACGTGTAGTGCAGCCCAGGCCAGGGACCCGGCCCACCCACACGGCCCACTTACCCTTTGTATGTGTCTCCCTTTTTTTGTTTTGTTTTTTCTGTTGTTGTTAAAATAACCGCGTCATCCGCAGCTCTTGAACTTGGCACCGGCGCGCAACCGGAGAGGGAGAGAGAGAAAAATAAAAAATAGTAAAACATTTAAAAAAAAAAACCTTATTACACATATGAGTATAACATTTTCTTAAGCATTTTCTTATTAGTGCTTTCTTATCTGTGTTGTCCTCCGCCCTTCCCCAAAATTCTCAATTATTAATATTCAAATACATATAGTAAATACATAAATAAATGAGTAAATAATTAAGTAAGTAAGTGAATGAATGAAAGGGGAGGAGTAAAAAGAAAACAAATGTGTAGATTGCATATGTACATATAAACCATATCCGGTGGTATTATTATAATAGAGATAAAATATATAATAATAAAGCTATACATTATATCAATAATATACATCAGTACATGTGTACATATATACACATACATAAACATATCCACATGCATACTGTATATCTACACATATTATATTCATTCCCCTTGTTCCCCTTATATATATATATATATTTATATATTTGTTTTATTATACAGGCTGTACAATTAAACAATATTGTATTTGACCTTTAACTTTGAAAACGCTGAATGCGTAAGCACAGATGTGTGGATCTCATTTCTGTTTGTATTTGGTGAGTGTGTGTGTGAGTCTGCATCATCACGTGGGCTTCATTCACACATATTTGCTGTATCAGAGTATAGCTGCTGTTTCTGCAGGTTAGTGTGAATCGCAGGAGACCACTGGCCTCAAACTCCACAACACTGCGGCAGTAGTGCTTCTGCTTTATAACCGAACTGTATATCTGTACTTCAACTACAACTTCTAGACATGTTTCTAAGTGACAGTGTTTTGTGGGAGTGTGCCTGATGAGTTTGGGCCTGTGTTTGTGTGTTTTTCCCACAGGTTTGATGAAGAGGGAGGAGCATCTAAAGCCCAGTCAGAAGTATCTTGCAGTCAGGTATGTGTGAAAGGTATCTTTGTGGTTGGGATGAGATCACTCATTTACTTTCTGTGTCTTTTGAAAGATAATCAACTTCAAACCCGATTCGACAAATAAAGTTCCTCTCACTGATCAAATGCATGTTAGTCCCATTAGAGAGTGCACAGCTGCATTCTTCAATACCAATCATTTTAAGCATAACATTGCTCTGCAGTGCCCAAAAAAACAGCATACCACTTGCAGACTCAAATCATTCACAATCAAGCCCTGAAGGCTGTTGCCAAGCAACTGAACGTTCCCACCATAGCACGTCAACCGGTGTCCACAAGAAGTTATCAGGATTCTGAGGTTTCGGAAGTCACACCCTGCGGTTAATAAGAGCAGTTTTAAGTAATGATAGTACCACGGCCCTGTGGTCACAGAGTGTTGAGCAATATGTCAACATTTACATAATGGATGAGTTGCATTCTTGTTCAAACATGACCCAAGTGCTGGTTACATATGCTACAAACTCATTCACGGTTGAGATAATAGCAGTCAGATCAAATTCATGTAATCCTAGTGTAAATCTTGTATATAGAATTATATTTAACCACTGGACTAACTACTGTAACAGTGCTCTCAGCTGTTTTAAGAAAAAAGTGTCACTTTGTCAGTAATTAGCATCGCATGGAAAAATGCTATTTTAGCAAAGTTTGTTCAGACAGTTCATTCCAGTGACCTGGTTCAAAACAAGTGAATTATCAAGAGAATATATATATATTTATATATTGCACATTTGTCTGTGTAAGCATAATGCTGATATCTTCATTGATTGATTTTGTGCCAGATAAGCATTACTAATTATTGCTATATATATAGAGAGAGAGAGAGATAGAGAGAGAGAGAGAGATTTTAATATATATCTCTCTATAAAATATATATTTAGTTATATTTTATTTATAGTAATAAAATATAGTTATTTTTTGTTATTAATGTTTTATTTATTTGTCATTTTATTTTTATTAGTCATATGTAATGTATATATGTAAAATAGATTTAATTTTGTAAAAATAGACATTTTGTAAAGCAAATTCATTGCTGTTTTCCGTATTATTTTGGTACTTATGTTAAGCTATCTTATGTTTGTAGTTTGTACCGTAGCTTCTTTAAAAAGGTACCTTCATTTCACTTGGGTAGCTTGTTGAGAAGCTGCTTCCTCTAATTCTTTAGCCTTGATGAACTAATTAATGGCCTTATAACATTAAAGTGATTTATAACATTCTCTGCTTTCTTAAATACTGAAAAACATTACTACATTAATAATATTTATATGTTAAAGGGATTGCTCACCCAAAAAATGAAAAATAAATGATGATTTACTCACCCTCAAGCCATCCTAGGTGCATTCTTCTTTCAGATGAATACAATCGGAGTTATATTAAAAACTGTCCTGTCCTGGTTAATAAAGGCCTTCTGAAGCGAATCGATGCGTTTGTGTAAGATCTATGTTTGTAAAATTGTTGTTGGGAAAGTGCGCGGGTCCGGTGCCAGGTTTCTGATATATATTAAGATAAGTCAGAAATGGATTCCAGATGTCTGTAAATATACATATATTTTTCTTGTTTGTGTATGTTATTTTTTCTAATGCAATGTAATGTAATTTATTTCTGTGATGGCACATGATCCTTCAGAAATCATTCTAATATGCTGATTTGGTGCTCAAGAAATTTGTAATTATCTATGTTGAAAACAGCTACTTTGGAACACTGTGATGCATGTTTTTCAGGATTACAAAAACAAAAACAAAAAAAACATTTTAAAATAGAAATCTTTTTATAAATGTCTTTACTGAGAATTTTCAGCAATGTGTCCTTAATATATCCTTGCTGAATAGAAGTATTAATTTATTTCAAACTAAATATTACCCCAAACATTTGAGCTGTAGTCTAGAGAGAGAGAGAGAGAGAGTATTCATTTACTACATGTATTTAGTCATTATTTTCTTATAATGTGCATTTATCATGGTTTTACTTATAGGCACTAATAATTTATAATTTATATATATATATATCAGCAAAGGAAAACCAGTTTCCTCTTTGCTTTTATCGAAATCCTCCGTCATTTTTCTTTACAAATCTTCATTTTGCACTTCTAATTCGTTACCCTTTTTTGTTTTTTTTCCTCTCTCCTCTGCTCTTGTGCATTCGTCACTTCTTACCGGACCGGACGCTACGCCTACATCCTACTTCCTTCGCTGGAACGCCACTCTCTTGTGAATGCGCAAAAGACAGTTAGTGGAAGCTAGAGATTACTGTTTTTCTGAAGCGAATCGATGCGTTTGTGTAAGACAAATATCCATATTTATAACTTTAGAAAGTAATCTCTAGCTTCCACTAACTGTCGTATGCGCATTCACAAGAGAGTGGCGTCCAGCGGATGACGTAGGCATAGCGTCCGGTCCGGTAAGAATATTCTAGTCTCGCGAGAACCAAGTTTTGTTTACAGCAAAGGAAAACCAGTTTCCTCTTTGCTTTTATCGAAATCCTCCGTCATTTTTCTTTACAAATCCTCATTTTGCACTTCTAATTCGTTACCCTTTTTAGTTTTTTTTCCTCTCTCCTCTGCTCTTGTGCATTCGTCACTTCTTACCGGACCGGACGCTACGCCTACATCCTACTTCCTTCGCTGGAACGCCACTCTCTTGTGAATGCGCAAAAGACAGTTAGTGGAAGCTAGAGATTACTGTTTATAAAGTTTTAAATATGGATATTTTTCTTACACAAACGCATCGATTAGCTTCAGAAGGCCTTTATTAACCCCGTGTTTTTTATGAAGTCTACATCCTACTTCCTTCGCTGGAACGCCGAATGAATGCGCAAAAGACAGTTAGTGGAAGCTAGAGATTACTGTTTATAAAGTTTTAAATATGGATATTTTTCTTACACAAACGCATCGATTAGCTTCAGAAGGCCTTTATTAACCCCGTGTTTTTTATGATGGATGGATGCACTTTATTTAGCTTCAAAATCTCGACCACCATTATAAAGCTTGGAAGAGCCAGGATATTTTTTAAATATACCTCCGATTGTATTTGTCTGAAAGAAGAAAGTCGTATACACTTAGGATGGCTTGAGGGTGAGTAAATCATGGGGCAATTTCATTTTTGGGTGAACTATCCCTTTAACATTTGTCCTTTTTGCATCATTATTTCCACTACAAAGCAAATCATGTTTTGGTACTTGATATTGGGTGTGCTTTGTTTAGTTAAATCAAACTTTTTTTTTTTTTTTTACTTATTCAATTTATTTGGTGACTTACAGTTGTTCTGTCCTTGTGTTTGCTGTACAGGAAGATGCCCAGTCTGCTGGAGTATCTGAGTTATAACTGTAACTTTATGGGGATCTTGGCCGGCCCGACCTGTTCCTATAATGATTACATAGCCTTTATAGAAGGCCGATGGTACGAGCCCAAGCACCTGGAGTCAAATGGCAAGGAGAACGGGAGATTCAAGCAGAGTGACCCTTCACCTAAGGTAGTGTGGTTACACTGCTCTCTTGCTCCCTCTGGTGACGGTATCACATTTGTGCTTTCAGATAGATAATATACTGTACATTACATAGTTAAATACAAGATGATATGTATATACACACACACACACATATTACCAGACAAAGTATGAGATGAGTAAGAAAATTTTTCAGGATTTTCTTTCTATTCATCAGAAAATCCTGAAAAAAATATATCACAATTTCAAAAAAAATATTAACCTCTTTCAGCAGTGATAATTAAAAGAACAATTATTAATAATTGAACATGAATAATACTTGACAGTAACTGAGCACCAAATCTGCATATTAGAATGATTTCTAAAGGATCATGTGACTCTGAAGACTGGAGTAATGATGCTGAAAATTCAGTTTTGCCATCATAGGAATACATTTTTTTTTTTTATAAATATAGATTTTTTTTTATTGATACACTTTATAAATACATAAATATTACAGTTGGTTTATTATTATTATTTTATTTTAGTTTTATTCATTATTTTCATTTAGATTTTTTTATGCAGTATGTTTTTTTGCACCCTTACTCATTTACATAGTTTTAATAATAATTATCCTTTTTTTTTAATTACAGAGCCAAAACAAACCCCAAGTTATACATGAAAAACTGAACCAAATGAGTAGAAGACGTTTAGTAAATGTGGACAGCAATCATAAATTAAACAAAGAATATGTGAGTGTGGTTGAACAGGAATATAATGACCACTTTAGGACAGGTATTCAGGATGTCAGAACCAGTTTTTGTTTTTTGCAGAACTTATAGGGGAAATGCTTTTTTAATGGGGTAAACAATGCTACTTTGGGTTGACACTGAGAGACAACGAGGAGCACTCACAAAACTTTAGATTTAAACTCAACTGAACTTTATTGTATGCTAAGAACTTTTGCATTCCCTCTTGCATTATCAGTTGCCTTATGGATTTTTATGTCATTTAAATGAATGAAAACCTTCATGGACATGAGCTCATATTTCTCAGACATGCTGAGTGGAGAGTTTGTTTTGAGTGTAGCTCTGGTGATGAACATGCTTTTATATGCATTTCCTCCTCAGGAGTTTCACAATGGCCTCACTTTAATGGACTTCAGCAACATTTTAACCAGTAAAACCAGTAAAAGCTGCAGACCATATTACATATTGTCAGTGATGCATGGGTTTCATCCTCGATAGACAAAACATGTATAGGTTTCATCCTCAGTAGACAAAAGCATTTGTTGAATCAGCTCACTCGCATGTTTCAGAAGAGCCTGAGGAAGTTGCATTCACAAATGTTTTTACTGCAACACAGAATCATTGCTAATTTACCATCCAGCTATTTCAGCTCCTCAGTGATTTGATGATAGTAAAATAAAATGAGCTTTTAGATGCAAATTATACAAAAAGAAACTCATCTTTATACACACTTTAAAAAAAAAAAAATTCTGTATGGTTAAAAGTGCTATTTTCCATAACATACACTACTGTTCAAATCATTCAATATATTAAGCGGAAAGTAGTGTTTTCTGAACAGTAGTGTTTTTTTGTTTTTGTTTTTTTGGAAGGCGTTTTCATTAATTGAAATGACTCTGACTCTCTGAAATGGTCTGTGTTGTTCTTATAGAGGGATGTGATCCAGAAAGTGTGCACGTGTGCTCTGTCACTAATGGTTTATTTGGTGATGTATATATATATATATATATATATATATATATAATTCAAAATATGCAGTACACAACAGAGCACACTGAAATAACCTTTTTTTTTAATTATTGAAGAATAATCCAATTCCTAACACATTATATAATTCTAAATACCATTACATATTTGCATAAAATTTGATAAAAAATGCATAACCATTTTATTACCACTCGTCAATAAAACACTCAGTGTACTGCCCTCTTGTGTTCATAAAAGGCATTTTCTCTGACTTGTTGCCCTGTTTCTAGTTGGATATTAGGTGTTTTTTTTGTCATGGTGAATCAGATGTTTTTTTACTAGATTCTTTCACTCTTTCACAGCCGATGCCATCAACAATGCGGCTGGTTTTGGGTTTAATGGCTATAACGCAGATGGCACCCCAAAATGGGACAGAATATCAAACTTAAGAATACTTAATATTGAGGTAAGACAAAGCCAAAATATGCTGCTTCCACGAGTTTGTCTTCTCACTCGACCTGAACCCTAATATATCATCTTTTTCTTGATGTCCTTAACAGTTTGCCACCAGCTTCAAGATGTTCTTGGATAACTGGAACATACAGACGGCACTTTGGTTGAAAAGGTGAATGCTTCAAAACAGAATAATCGTGACTGAGCATGTGTGTACTTCCTGAAATCTCAGAAACAATGTGAGCTTTGTTGCTGTTCTCTGCAGAGTGTGTTATGAGCGCTGCCCGTACAATCCGACTGCGGCCACATTCCTCCTCTCAGCCATCTGGCACGGAGCGGACCCAGGGTATTACCTGACCTTCATCACAGGCATTGTTGTAACAATGGCAGCACGGGCAGTGAGTATTCTTTACATAAGATGGGCTGTCAAAACAAGATTTAATTCAGATTTATATCACAAAGCACCTGAAGAAGTTTGATCTGAAGAATACTTTCATAGCACATCTATTGGGAGCAGTTAAAAATACTGTTACATTAGAATGAATTGGACATTGGTTTTCTCTAATAATAAATGAGAGGCATGTAGGGATCCAAAAAAGACTATGTGCTCAGTCAAGGTTATTATTCATCTAGTCATGTGCTGCATAATACCACAATTTCTCTGTCGCATGGTAATGATCAAGGCCTCTCCAACTAAAGAAAAAAGTAGGTCACTTAGTTGCAGTAGTCCATCTTAAAATGCTACTCCGAATATAAACTATTCAGCCCACGGCATTGTCTGCATGATACACTGTTGCTTCCAGAGCTGTTTTCACTTTTTCAAACCCAAGTAAGAATATCCAAATCCACAAGCAAAAATGACTGCGCTTACTGAATATTCTTTTATTAATCAGAATTTGGATATTCTGAATATATACAGTACATGTCACGTGAACACTGTAATCTATTGTCATAACCTGACTAAACCAATATGCGTTTTCATTAATTGAAATGACTCTGACTCTCTGAAATGGTCTGTGTTGTTCTTATAGAGGGATGTGATCCAGAAAGTGTGCACGTGTGCTCTGTCACTAATGGTTTATTTGGTGATCTACACCATCTGCCCTACGGTGCGTGTCATCGACGACACCTTCATGGCCTCTAACCCTTTCTACATCCAGGTCTTGTACCTCTACATCTTAAGATGGGCTGTCAAAACAAGATTTAATTCAGATTTATATCACAAAGCACCTGAAGAAGTTTGATCTGAAGAATACTTTCATAGCACATCTATTGGGAGCAGTTAAAAATACTGTTACATTAGAATGAATTGGACATTGGTTTTCTCTAATAATAAATGAGAGGCATGTAGGGATCCAAAAAAGACTATGTGCTCAGTCAAGGTTATTATTCATCTAGTCATGTGCTGCATAATACCACAATTTCTCTGTCGCATGGTAATGATCAAGGCCTCTCCAACTAAAGAAAAAAGTAGGTCACTTAGTTGCAGTAGTCCATCTTAAAATGCTACTCCGAATATAAACGATTCAGCCTACGGCATTGTCTGCATGATACACTGTTGCTTCCAGAGCTGTTTTCACTTTTTCAAACCCAAGTAAGAATATCCAAATCCACAAGCAAAAATGACTGCGCTTACTGAATATTCTTTTATTAATCAGAATTTGGATATTCTGAATATATACAGTACATGTCACGTGAACACTGTAATCTATTGTCATAACCTGACTAAACCAATATTCGAGATTTAAAAAAATCTGAATAAGACAGCTGTTTGGGGTTGGTAAGAATTTTGAATGGTTTTAGGGGGTTTCACTTTTTGGGGGGATTGAAGTTTTAATGAAAATGTAATTCTTAATCTGAAAATTATGTTCACGTATTTGGAATATGATCATTTATGTTTGAAATGTTTGATTTTACTTTAAAAGTGCTTTTTGAGCTTTTAAAGTTAGACAATTTCCTCTTTTTCAGGTAAGACACAATGTGCGGCAACATTTCCTGGGCTCAGCCACGCTCAAGCTCATCTATGATGTGATCACATGGTTCAGCACGCAGATGGCCATTTGTTACACTGTTGTGCCATTTGTACTGCTGGCAGTGGGGCCTTCACTGAAGTTTTATAGGTCAGTAATACATTTGCACCAGTATGTGAGCATTCCAGGGCAGGCCCTAATGTCCCATTATGGATTCACCTCCACTGACTGACGATCAATATGCAGTAAGCTCTTTCAGATTGTTTATGAGCGAGCTTCAGTGATAAAACATTAAGAAAGAAGTGAAACGCTTTAAAGAGCAGGTCAGAAAGTCATCGCAAACCCACCTGCACCACTGTGCTGTTGCTGAGAGTCATTAGCAGAAGATGTGAAGATGACAGGTAATGCGAGGCTGATTTTATTTCTGCTCACTGCTTCATTCATTAGACGGCTTTACAGGCCTGAGTCTGGTGACACTTTATGAGCTGGCAGAGGACCATTTATTTCACAGCTTCTGCTGAGATAAAAGAAATCTATGATGGTCATTTGTTGGAGTAGTGCTGTTAAATGAGTCTGCCTGAAGAACACATAAAGCATTTTCATTAAAGAGAGAGAATTAGGTATTAGGAATTAGGCTGTGGGAGCTCAGACCAGGAAAGAGTAAATGTGACCCTGGACCACAAAACCTTAAGTCGCTGGGGTATATTTGTAGCAATAGCCAAAATTACATTGTATGGGTCAAAATTATTGATTTTTCTTTTATGCCAAAAGTCATTAGGATATTAAGTAAAGATCATGTTCCATGAAGATATTTTGTAAATTTCCTATTATAAATATACTAAAACTTAATTTTTGATTAGTAATATGTTTTGCTAAGAACTTCATTTGGACAACTTTAAAGGTGATTTTCTCAATATTTAGATTTTTTATATTATATTATTTAGATTCCATATTTTCAAATAGTTGTATCTTGGCCAAATATTCTCGGCCAAATATTCTTTCCTAACAAACCATACATCAATGGAAAGCTTATTTATTCAGCTTTCAGATGATGTATAAATCTCAATTTCGAAAAAATTGACCCTTATGACTGGTTTTGTGGTCCAAGGTCACAAATTATGTTCAGGTGAAGAGGACCTCAGTATATCGGGTTGAAAGATATGGAGTGATGTAGCTGACTGGATAAAAAACTGAGACCCGAGACCCCCTAAAACCTAGAATCTTAATACTGTACTCACAAAAGTTTTCAAATTTATAAAACAAATGTTTTATAATGTATATTATATTATATTACATTTAAGGCTGGTAATTTAACGCATGAATTAGATTAATTAATTACGGTGAAAAATAACGCGTTAAAATTATTAACGCATTTAAAGGGATACTCCACCCCAAAATGAAAATTTTGTCATTAATGAAAGTGAAAAAGAAAGTTACGTGACATGTGACCAAGTATGGTGACCCATACTCAGAATCAGTGCTTTGCATTTATCCCATCCAAAGTGCACACACACAGCAGTGAACACACACACACAGTGAACACACACCCGGAGCAGTGGGCAGCCATTTTTTTGCTGCGGCGCCCGGGGAGCAGTTGGGGGTTCGGTGCCTTGCTCAAGGGCACCTCAGTCGTGGTATTGAAGGTGGGAGAGAGCGCTGTACATTCACTCCCCCCACCTACAATCCCTGCCGGTATGAGACTCGAACCCACAACCTTTGGGTTACGAGTCGACTCTCTAACCATTAGGCCACGACTTCCCAATAATCACTTACCCCCATGTCGTTCCAAACCCCTAAAAGCTGCGTTCGTCTTCGGAACACAATTTAAGATATTTTGGATGAAAACCGGGGAGGCTTGTGACTGTCCGATTGACTGCCAAGTAAATTACACTGTCAAGGTCCAGAAAAGTATGAAAGACATCGTCAGAATAGTCCATCTGCCATCAGTGGTTCAACCGTAACGTTATGAAGCGACGAGAATACTTTTTGTACGCGAAGAAAACAAAAATAATGACTTTATTCAACAATTCGTCTCCTCTGTGTCTCTCCGCATCACTGTAGCGCCATTTTGAAGAATAAACACTGAACGCAAGCAGCGTACGCTATTCTGTGTCAGCCGCGCTGCACGGATGCGCTGTTTTCGTTCAAATCAAAGCGTAAATACACATAGAAAACGTATCCTTGTGTCGCGGCTGACACAGAATAGCGTACGCTGCTTGCGTTCCCCAAAATAACCATGTAACAACACATTTTTTTAAATTATTATTCTTTGTTATTTATATTGTCATACAGACACGCAGTATGCATTTAGCAGTACTATAAACTTAATGGCAGAATGCAGTACATTTATTGAAAAATGACAAATGTTGTTTGTGTATCAATAAGATTTTACACTACTAAAAATAATTGTATTTCATCAATCATTATCGTTTTTTAAATAACTAAATATCCTACAAGAGAAATTAATCTGAGAAGCAAAACTGATACGAAGACATCAGAGAATGCATTTTAAATATGTGACCCTGGACCACAAAACCAATCTTAAGTCGCTGGGGTATATTTGTAGCAACAGCCAAATATACATTGTATGGGTCAAAATTATAGATTTTTCTTTTATGCCAAAAATCATTAGGATATTAAGTAAAGATCATGTTCCATGAAGATATTTTGTAA